ACAGTATGTATACCAAACAATACGAATACTACATTTTACGTATACCAAACAGTACTATACCAAACAGTACGTATGGTAAACAGGACGTATAACAAACAGTACGTATACCAAACAGTACGTACATTAAGAGTACGTTTACGAAAGGTTTTTTTCTTTAAGAAATCAAGGGAGAATGATTAATCCTTTCCAATGAAAAAAAAAATCATATTCATTTTTGGCATATTATACACAGCAGGAGTTGTATAAAATAATCTAAATATTGCTTGAAATTTAAATAGATTTAAATACACTTTACAAGTTTGGCCTTGTTCTAACACTTGTTTTACAGATCTGGTTTATATTTGTATGCAGACTACTGGAGCCTCGACTCTTGAGCAAATTCACTGCGACTTTGAATGAACCCTCCCCCCCCCCCCCCCCTGGTTCGCCTTTCACGCTATGTTTGTTGGAGGAGGGAAGTGGATACTACCGCCTTAACGCATGGGGGGGCAGGGCAATTGTTTAAGGATCCCATGTTCATCTTTTTATTTAGCAACTGGCTTGCCATAACTAAAAATTTCATTCACGTGAGTGGTTGTAGTAAGGGCCCTAGCACACTGGTTTGCTCAGGGTCTCATACTGATGTTAAAACAGCCCTGGATGTGGTTTTGTTTTCAACCCCCCCCCCCTCCAAACCACCACCACCCACCACCACAACTCACCCCAATGGGGTCTGAAACTGACAAAGCCCAGCCTTTTCATTTCTTTCTTTTTTTAAAAAGCTTTACTTACATAACATTCTTTTTTTTCAATGTCCTTCTATCATTATCCAGAATGTCCTTTTTGTATCACTACAGTGTAAGGTGTGTTTTTTTTTAATGACTATTTTATGAATATATTACCGTTTCTATTTTTGCAGTCACCATCTGGGAAAGTTAATGCAAGAAATACTGCTCAGTGTATCTTATTTTGAGTAATGTTTTCCCACAGTACAGTTCTATTCACAATCTTCTTCTTCTTCGCGTTCACCAGCTGTAAACTCTGGCGGAAGGTTCTGGTTGCTCGTCCACTACTGAACTGCAGTCCTGCTCCAGAACTTGAGTGTTGCGTGTGCATCAGTTTTACAGATCTCATTCTCTTGAATACAGACTGTTGGTTCCTTGCCTCTCCGGCAGATGCACTCCGACTTCAAAGGAAGCTCCCCAATTAGTCGACTCTTACGACATGCTTTTGGGGAGGCAGTGAGTCTATTCTTGTTTTCCCCACAATGGGGCCCCGGAACCCACACGGGGGAGAGCTCCCATTAACGGTGTACTATTCACAATCGATTCAACTGGTTACATTGTTAACAGTACTAGGATGAGGCATTTGAGTATCAGGAAATGACTGAACAACCTCATTAAAATACCTGCCACAGTTAAGGAACATATGCTCAACCAATTTTTTTTTAAATATACTTAACACTATTATATCTAAGATCAGTTACTGAAACAAAAGTACATAGCAGTGATATTCTAAACTAACGACCAAATAGCGCTAGAAACATGACGTACCACATAAGAGTGCGCAAAAAAATTTAGTTTCGAAAATTCTACATTAATTAAATAAACAATATATAAATAATCTGTCGCTACGTGAATCCATATACGTTAGAGTTTCCTTTTTTTTTTTTTTTTTTCGATTTCTTAGATTGTCCACTCTGCTCTTTTCAGCTTTTTCACCCCATCTCGTCGGCTACGAGATTTGCTATGGAATTTCTAGGCGGTTCCGTAGAAGATCCAATCGTATAGGGGAGTTCGGTTTATGGTCAGAGTTTATGAAAGAGTAACCCTACGACACTACAACCCCCACGTTCTATGCGTTCCATGTGTTGGTTGTTTTCAGAGTGTTTATAGTTTATTGCGTGATCATTTCCAATGTGTTTTCCCTTCGTTCTTTCGTCGCAATAACTGTGCCATGTTTGCATGCGGGGTTCTTACTTCGTGACTTCGCCTTCGTCGTGAATGTCCTTGACCTGTCATCATTCCGGCATCTAACACCTGACTGACGAGCATGCATACATGGAAGCTGTCGCTCATTGTCAGGGCCTTTCCCCGCCGACACCCCAAGATGGCCCGACCCAAAATATCCCCAATTGGCACCTCACTTCCTGAGGTCTGCCTAAGAGAAGCACCGGTTCAATCCAAGCTTTACTTACAGAATACAGTAAAGTTGACACTAGAGGCGACATTGCAGATATAGATAATCTATTCACGGCGAACGAAAGCAGAAGAAAAAGAACACGAGGAAACTAACCCTAACCCTAAACTTGTATACTGTAAGACCTTCCAGGGAACCTCCTGTGAATTCCCTATCAAATCTCGCAGCCGGCGAGATGGGTTAAAGAAGCTTAAAACTACCGTTCACTCTATGATTTTCAAATGTAAAATTTTTTTCAGTATGTGTCCTGGGAGCCGACACACAAAAAAACATTAGGGTGGGCAGTTGGCCTCCTTAAAATTTTCTGTTAGGGTGGGGTGGAGTGGGGGGGGGGTGGTTGTAACTAGGGGAGAGAGGGGAAACTAAGAGAGATTTTAATAAGATTTTAATGAGATTTCAATGAGATTTTAATGGGATCTCAGTGAGATTTAAATGAGATTTAAATGAGATTTCAATGGTTAAATGTGCAGTAATAATAATAATATGCTGAATGGCAAAAAAATTCAATTATAAAAATGAGCAAATATTAATAGTATCTTCCCTGTGTGGGTTCTGGAACCTCATTGTGGGGAAAACCAGAATAGACCCACTGCCTCCTCCATAAACTTGTCGTAAGAGTTGACTAACTGGGCGCTTATTTCGAAGTGAATCTGTATCAGAGGCAAGGAACCAACAATCTGCATACAAATAAGTCAGATCTGTAAAAAGTGCACCTAACACTAAGGTTTTGGAACAAGACTAAAGTCGACAGGTGGACGTCAGTCCCGTTCGTAAGTGTTCTCAGAATGATGTAGATCTTCATTCAAAATGCTATCCCTAACAGCTCCGCGCGGTCAGATCAAAAGTTCAAATTTTACTTTCATTACCCCGTTTATGCCACCGCTCCACTTTACGGTGTCGCCTGATGCAGCCGTATCTCTGTTTCATAAGATGGCACGGTCCTGGTGGACGAACAACCAAAACTTTCTGCCAGGTTTTACAGCCGCTGAGTGCCAAGAAGAATATGGCATGTATGAACAATTACTTGATAAGGGACCTTCTGTAGATGGTCTCAGCGTTCGTAGCTCAGGCGTTGCCAGTCCGACTCGTAATTCCAACATACCGCGATCGAAACCCACTGCTGGCTGCGTGGATTTGTATCATGGTATGGGACGTCGCAGGTGGACCCAGCCTAAAATGGGTACCAGGATGGCTGTAGTGGGAAGTAAAGACGGCCGGCGTAATGCTGACCACATTACCCACCTGGTGCTGACTGGTCTGTAAAAATATGGATTCTCTTCCCATATGCCCGATGTGCCTAAGGCGTGAAAGGGGATCTTCATTTACTTCTGTACAAGGTGAGCAGGGGTTCCTTTTGTCTCCCATACACTGTTGAAAACGCTGAGAAAAGGGCCCACTTTTGTCGGGCCATCACTACGCCTGGTTTCCCAGGTTCCAGCGCCCTTGGTTTACATGGCTAGCCTGGTGTTTTATGATAAAACATGACCAGTTGATAGCCGACCTGTTGGTTAAATATCGCTCTTTCTACCTTTGCCTCCCATGACATTTTCTGTTACCGATTTTAGACTGGGTCGACCAAGAAGCCAACGTCAATTCAACAGTCATAACAATAATATGAATTATAATGAGTTTTCAACAACACAATTTACAAAAATACTCAATTTATTACATGAGCAGGCATAACTGAGCAGTGTGTCTGATGGTTTTTATAATAATAAATGAAGTGCAGCAAGCGATAGAAAAATCAGAAAATGCGAATCTTCTGCTCTTTATCCGATAAGCGAGCCTACCCGCAAACAACTTTCTTTCCTTTCCTTAGGCGACTCAGTTCACATCATATCCTGTATATGTTTTTACCCCTATTTTTAATTGTTTACCGTGATTTTTTTTTTTTTTTTTGAGCGCTGAATACTCCATTGCAAAAACATTCTTGCTTTGTTATATTGTTTTCTTTCGTGTGTTCTATCGACAGCCAGCGTCGTTTTCCCGCCTCTTGATTCAGTAGCATGTATTTTGTTCTCTCTCGAAACTCCGTATTTTGGATTTCTGTGACACCATTTGATTCTTCTTATTCCGTACAAGCACCAGGTAATGAATGTTTAAAAAATATATTATTAATTTTTATTTTACGCTTTCTGTGTTTCTGATCTATGCAGTATTGTTGACTTGATGTTGCAGTCAAATATTTTAGGTTCGGTATTAGTTTTAATTTCGTTTTGTTCTGTGCAAGCATCGGTTAATTAATGTTTTAGCTTATTAGTAACTTTTTCAGTCGTTCTGTGTGTTTCTAGTCCACACAGTAGTACTATAGGGGGTTTGCAAAGTCTCACTACACATTGTATGTAGAACAAACGTAAAAAACGATGTGCGTGATATCATCAAAAAATATGCTTCACAGTCAATCGCGGAGCAATGTGCAGTGAATGGCTGTCGTCTGCTCGAATAATTCGTTGCACTCAAAACAGAATGGAAGCAGTCAAAATTACCATTCAGTAAATAACAACATACACGTTGCTAAAAAGTAATTGATATACGAAGAGACGTGTACACTCATGTCTTGAAGTCCGTGATGAGCTTTACCATAATCTGTTATAATTAATATTTCACTGGTACTTCCAGCTAAAAAAAAAAAAAAAAGTACTAGACCGTAGCAGTAACTTTGTAGCTAATTTAATGACATTACGCACATTTTTTTTTTGGGGGGGGGGGTGGGGGGGGGGGGGGGGGGTCTTTTAAATTTATTCTGCCTAAAAAGTGTGGTGATACTTTACAAACATCTTGTAATATAACATCATATCTATATCAGATCTATGACAACTCTATCAGCGTCTGTAGTACCATCTTTGTCTTTTGTACTTCTTTCTCCTGGTAGATCGTTGGCTGGGGCCGTCATTTATTACATCCGTGGACTCCAAATTTGTCTTTCTGTAAGCATCCACCATTTCCTTTGAATCGAGAGCTCCCATAAACTTCCTGACATGTGCAGCTGCCATCTCCCGCGAGTCTTCCGTGCCGATCTTGCCCGATGGCGCCAGTCTGTAGGAACCTCTGTTGGTGTAGAAGGTATGAGAATATTGTTGCCGTTCTCGTGATGTGCCTCTGCTTGTGGAATGTCTAACCTCTCTAGAGCTGGTCCTCCCAGCTTTTGACTGACCACCAGCTCGGTTGTTTCTTGTTTGCCTTGACCGTCCGCCCGATGTTTTGGCGAGTAAAGACGCTTCATGTTGCCTGCTGGAATAGCCATCTAGTTTCCCCATACTGTCAGCTGGATCGGACACACGATCAAGGTTGTCTTTGGTAGCTTTATCTCTAAGGTTTCCTCTGTTTGCTTCTTCGTCGCTTTTGTCATCTTGTTTGTGCTTCTTACCATTAATTTTTCTCAGTTTTGTAGACTGACTACCTGAATCGCCATCTTGTTTCTCTGTGCTTTCAACCAGACCAGACTCGCGATCATTGTTGCCTTTGGTAATGGCATGTTTATTCTGGCCTTTGTTTGCTTCTTCGTTGCTTTCGTCAATTTGCTTCTGTTTATGACCAACTGTATTTTTCAATTCAGTAGACTGACTACCTGAATCGCCATCTTGTTTCTCTGTGCTTTCAACCAGACCAGACTCGCGATCATTGTTGCCTTTGGTAACGGCATGTTTATTCTGTCCTTTGTTTGCTTCTTCATTGCTTTCGTCAATTTGCTTCTGCTTATGACCAACTGTATTTTTCAATTCAGTAGACTGACTACCTGAATCGCCATCCTCTTTCTCCGTGCGATCAACAAGATCAGACACTTTGTTTTCCTTAGGAGCTGTATCTTTGTGACCTACTTTCTTTTCTTCTTCATTGCTTTCATCATCTTGGTTCTGTTTATTGTCAGTATTCTTTGAACTCAGTCGTGCAGACTGATTGCTTGAACCGCCATCTTGTTTCTCATTGCTGCTATCTTTGGCAACAGGATTTTTATGTTTTTCTTTGTTTGCGTCCTCATTGCTTTCACCATCTTGCTTCTGCTTCTTGTCATCACTTTGTGCGCTCAGTTTAGTAGTTTCTCCGCTTTTGTCAATATTTTCTGTAACAGCAGACTTAGCATCAACAGCATGCACAACCTCCGCATCTCCCTCGGCTTTTCCGGCTGTTTTGTTTACCGTTTCGTCCTTCCTGTCAAAAATATCAAAATATTTATCTTCGTCATCATTATCAACTTCATCAAATCTTTTAGGGCCGTCTTTTTCTTCATCCTCAATGTCATCTTTAGGGGCAGCTTCAATCTTTCGCATACTTGAGAACCTTTTCTCGCTTTCGAGTTCATACGCTTCCAAACTTTCGCGACCGGGAACATCTCGAGCGATCTCCTCTGGATGTCGTCTCGCAGGCGTCTGACCCCACTCGTCTCCTCGGCGATCCAGCCCAGATAGGCCCCCAACTGGGCCCAGTTTCTTCTGGTTGTTGGCAAAAAGGAACTGGTTTTCCCGGAACTCGCTACTTGTAACAACTGGACCACTGCAAAAGAGATTGATATTTACGTTATCAGGTGTGTGTGTTCTCGACGATCGCCACTTACATACCGTGTGACCTAAGTCTAAAGACTGGGTCTTGTAGCAACTGCTGCTACAAAGACTTTTTAGGGTTTTTGTTCGTGGGTTGTCTTATTATAATATACAAAAGTCTACATTTATTCAAGTTTAAGAATGTGCAATATTCAAATTTTTTTTTTAAAGTAAAGGACCCTTTTCCACGCCTTTACGCTATAGGGCATATAGGGCTAGACCTAAATTTTTATAGACCTATCGGCACACGATGGTCAGCATCACGCCGGCCGCCTCTACTTCCCGAGACTGCAACCGGTACCCACTCAAGGCTGGGTCGACCTGGGAGCCTAGGTCATTTTTGAAAAAAAAGTCTGGCTCATCCAGGGAGAAAACCCATGACCTTATATTCAAATACAAGTTATATTTATTAAAATTTAAAAAAAAAAAAACATTTATTCTAGTACAAAAATCTACATTTACTCAAGTATAAAACTCTACATTTATTCAAAATTCTACATTTAGTGAAAGAATTCATGTACATTATATAATTTATAAAAATGTATTTTTACAGTCAGTACTGTAAAATTAAATAAGCCCGTCGTCTGATTAAGAATTTTTACCAAGGCTTTTATTTGGGGTCAGTCTTATATTAGGTAGTGGTGTAGCGGCTAGACGCTCGCCTGAAGGTCGTGGGTTTAGATCCTGACGAAGCCGGACTTCACCCAGCCTTACATGGCTACCAGATAAAGTCCTGGAAAGTAAAGGCGGTGGGCGTGACGCTGACCACATCACCAACCTAGTGCCAATAGGTCTATAAAATATAGATCTTGCCCTATATGCCCAATAAGCCTGAAGGCGGAAGAAATGTTTTTTTATATATTACGAGCATCATAAACTATGGTGCTATAGCTTATATACAGTTTAGGTCTGATTTCGGGGGGAAATTTGGTATTTCTTTTCAAACTAAACATCTATCTAGGTCTGTCTATATATCAGTCTGTCTATCTACTTATTATCCATATGTGTGTCTGTCCCTCCGTCAGTCAGTCTGTCTATCTACCTATTATCCATATGTGTGTCTGTCCCCCGTCAGTCAGTCTGTCTGTCTATCTACCTATTATCCATATGTGTGTCTGTCCCTCCGTCAGTCAGTCTGTCTGTCTATCTACATATTAATCATATGTGTGTCTGTCCCTTCGTCAGTCAGTCTGTCTGTCTATTATTCAAATGTGTGCCTGTCCCTCCGTCAGTCAGTCAGTTTGTCTGTCTGTCTATTATCCATATGTGTGCCTGACTCTCCGTCAGTCTGCCTGTCTGTCTGCATGTCACTGAGCTAACACACATGATCCTTCTGCTTCATACCAGTCCTCATTTTCATATTATTTTCTGATATCATTTTATTCGTTTTTGGTTTGGTTGTTTGTTTGTTTATTTGTTTTTCCTGTCGCGTTACCTGATATATTATGGTCAGTCTCTTGAGAGTCACAAATAAGGAGTGGTGATGAGAGCGGGCGAAAGGGGGAGAAGGAGACAGATAAGAAGATAGAGGAAGAGGGGATGAGAAGGAGAGGGAGTAGAAGCAGGAAGAGAAAGGAAAAGAGAGGCAGCATGAGCAAATGGAAGAAAAAGAATGAAACAGGATGAGGAAGAGAGAATGACAGAAAGAAAGAGATAAAGGGAGAGAGGGTGGGAAAGAGTGGGACAAAAAGGCATAGATTTGGTGAGAGGGAAGAAAAGGGGAGAACATGAATTAGAGAATAAAAGATGCAGAAAGAGAGAGAGAGAAGAGAAGAGAAGAGAAGAGAAGAGAAGAGAAGAGAAGAGAAGAGAAGAGAAGAGAAGAGAAGAGAAGAGAAGAGAAGAGAAGAGAAGAGAAGAGAAGAGAAGAGAAGAGAAGAGAAGAGAAGAAAAGAGAAGAGAAGAGAAGAGAAGAGAAGAGAAGAGAGAGAGAGAGTGGGAGAGGGCTGACCGCAGAACCAAATAGCCTTTACCTGACAGCCAGCTCAATGCAGCATTTGACAAACTGGTCAAGACAAGACCTCAAGCCTGAGGTCACATCCATGGCCTGAATGTGCTTCTGACCGCTGTGCTCACACTCCCTGCGGACAGGCGAGAACCACCCATAGACTGGACGGCCAGCTACGGCTCCTGCCTCACAGCACTGCCGCCTCATTAGTAGTCGATCCATTTTCTTTTGGAGTTCTGGTCAATAGAAATTATGAGACTGGAGGGAAAAGTTAGAGGTAATGTTATAGTATTTTCTGTTATGTTATGTAAGAGCAAAATAAACAAATTTGCAGGACATCAAGGGTCTCTTTTGGCAGTTTTGAAATGTCGCAAGTTGGTTTGGTTCGGGCACGTGGTGAGACATGATTTAATTGCAAAGACTATACAAGGAACATATGTCGTGGTGTGTGGTTGGAGGGGGGGGGGGGGGGGTAACTCAAAGAAGAGGAGATAACAGAAGAGCCTGGAATGACAACAAGAAATGGACAGGACTATGTTATCATACGCTTGTTTATCAAGCGGAACACAGAGAAAGATGGGTTTTGTGTGCTAAGGCTTCTATCGATATACCTCCACTACCCTTACGGGTCAAGGGTAGTTATATGTTACGTTTTCACAGTCTATGTCATTGCACATCAAACATTCCCATGCGTGCTCAGTCCTCCGATGCGGTAATCACTCCAGGGTACTTCTATTGATTGTTCCTAAGAAGAGCTAGCTTATCTCCTATCTCGACCACGAAAGCGGTATAGACGTGCTTTAACATACTTTACTCACATATCAAGCAATCGTGTTAGTGTCAGAGATTCGCTATTGTCTACTAGCCTAGTCCGTACACCGTGCATACAAGTTGAAGGCGAGCAAGCAAGAGGCAGAAAGTGATACAAGTGGGAGAATAATAATTATCTAAAGCTTTTTACAACATGCCTGATAGAGAGGCAGTGGGTCTAATCTTTATTCCCCCATAATTGGCTACGGGAACCCACACAGGGAAGGTAGCCAGCAAAGAGTTCTCTCTGACAAAATGCCAGTGGAAACTCGATTAGGTCCAACTATCTCTTTGGCATTGGATATACACACAGAAAAAGAAACATAAAAAGAGCTTCATTGCAAGGTCCTTTCACGGAACCAAGAGGGAAATGGGATAGATAGAGACATAACAATAAAACGAGAATGCATTTGTAGAGACAAATGAGTTATATGCTGATGACACAGTGAGAGATATAGGAGAAAAAAGACATGATGACTTTCCGTCAAGTACTTATGCTTTAATAACTGTTACAGGAAAGAAGAAGAAGAAGAAGAAGAAGAAGAAGAAGAAGAAGAAGAAGAAGAAGAAGAAGAAGAAGAAGAAGAAGAAGAAGAAGAAGAAGAAGAAGAAGAAGAAGAAGAAGAAGAAGAAAAAGAAAAAGAAGAAGAAGAAGAAGAAGAAGAAGAAGAAGAAGAAGAAGAAGAAGAAGAAGGAGGAGAAGGAGTAGGAGGAGGAAACAGAAAACGAGCAGGGAGTAGAGCGGGGAAAAAAGAAAGAAAGAAAGAAAACAATAGAAAGACAGACAGACTAAAGAAAGAAAGAAAGAAAGAAAGAAAGAAAGAAAGAAAGAAAGAAAGAAAGAAAGAAAGAAAGAAAGAAAGAAAGAAAGAAAGAAAGAAAGAAAGAAAGAAAGAAAGAAAGAAAGAAAGAAAGAAAGAAAGAAAGAAAGAAAGAAAGAAAGAAAGAAAGAAAGAAAGAAAGAAAGAAAGAAAGAAAGAAAGAAAGAAAGAAAGAAAGAAAGAAAGAAAGACAAAGAAAGAAAGAAAGAAATGATGATGATGATGACGTTAAAAAATCTTGTAACAGCACAAGCTAACTCACTGTCCAAGGTAACAGCCACTGACTTTCCTCCCTGATCCTCGAAATCAGGCTCACTGACTTCGGCCCAGTCATGTCGTCTTTGGGCGCTTCCCTTTGCCCTCGACCTCCTCTCGGCACTGGACAAGGCTTGTCTTTCCCGAGACAAACCTGTCCCTCGGGAGTAAGTATCCTCATACCCAGGTACGCCCCAGGAGTTACTTCCAGTAGCAGGTTTGTACTGCTCTTCACTTGTCCGCTTCCGACCTGCCCTCTCGTTACTCGCTCGTCTGCCTTCAGCTCCACTCACTCGCCGACCATCAGCTGTGTACTCTCTACTGGATGCTCTTCTGCTGCCCACGCGTTCAGCACTGACCCAGTTCTCTGGTTCTCCGTTATTTCTACGCGTCTTTCTTCTTTCAGCGCTGGTCAGCTTGGGACTGTGGTCACTGGCTATCTTGGGATGAGATCGGGTACCTTCGACCGGACTCTGGAGGTGCATTTGTGGGCTAGCTTTGGCACTTGATGGCGAGAATTCCCTGATCACTTCCACCAGGTGTTCATTTTCATCGGTCACTGCCGGCACCTTTTTACTTGATTTCACCGCTTTGTTTTGGTCAGCAGTGTCATCGTCGTCTTCTTCTTTCTCGTCGTTATCTTCGTTGTCGTTATTGCCCTCTTCATGAGTTATACCTCTGTTTTCTCCGAAAGTCACTGTTCCTATGATTTTTATCACGTCTGCGTCCTGTATGATGTTAATATAAAATAATAAAATTTACAATACAGAAAGTAGTAACTATAGTCATTCTAGTAGTAGTAGTATAATTATTTGCTGTTGTTGGTGGTGGTGTGGTAGTTGTAGTAGTATTAATTGTAATAGCAGTAGAAGAAGAAGAAGGAGAAGAAGAAGGAGGAGAAGAAGAAGGAGGAGAAGAAGAAGAAGAAGAAGAAGAAGAAGAAGAAGAAGAAGAAGAAGAAGAAGAAGAAGAAGAAGAAGAAGAAGAAGAAGAAGAAAAAGAAGAAGAAGAAGAAGAAGAAGAAGAAGAAGAAGAAGAAGTATTAGTAGTTGTTGTTGTTGTTGTAGCAGCAGCAGCAGCAGCAGCAACAGTAGTAGTAGGGGGAGGAGGAGGAGAAAGAGCAGCAGCAGCAGCGGTAGTAGCAGCAAGAATAGAAGGCAAAGAACGAGAAGTATACGCACCAGCATTAGTAAATATATAAATTTACACACACTTTAAAAATATTTTAATCTTGACTCCCAGGGATCTCATTTTAAATGGAAAAAGCTGAAAGACACACACGAGTCACAACGACTGTAGATCAGTGGTTCCCAAAGTGTGGCCACATGAGTGACCTTTTCTTTAGAGTCAGGTGACAGGCCGATAAAGGGATTGTGCGGCCTAAAAACCACAAGGTATCCATCTACATTACTAGCCGGGATCTCTTACTATGGTGAGGAGGAACTTCACCCGTGGCCTTAATACTATACATAGCCACACTCGCGATCACCATAGACTATGATTTCCATCTATCCCTCTTTGGCACAATGTTGACAGGTGAATATGAGCGCCTATGGATGCATAGGAGTGCTGTGAAGATAAGTCTAACTCATAACTGTATATAGTCTGGAATGTGCCCCCCCCCCCTTTTTTTCCCCAAAAAATAGGATGCTGAATAAACGAATTTAAAAAATAATAATAACAAAAACACCTACGTGAGGAAATGCAAATTCAGCGAGGTCATTGACGGGGTCAGTTTCGTCCTGGGAGAAATCCAGCATGGTGACTGCAGGTCCTCGAGCTAGCTCGCTGTTCTCAGCAAAACACCTGTATCTGAGCTCACCTGTTTCACAGAATAGGTCAAGGTGATGTCACATTTGTGGGATATGCTGTTGATGGACTGTTTTTAGACATTTACAAAATCTTATTAATTTGAATAGGTTACCATGATGGTGGTGGAGCGACTAGACGCTCCGCCTTGTGGCCCGAAGTTCTGATAATAGTGCACACCAGCCCTACCCTTGCCAGTCCCTCAACAATCCTACATTTCCACTAGAGATCACTGACACGGGAGTTCTTATACTCGTGCACAACAGCTCTCAGCCCCTCAACATCTTCCACTGCCACTACTAGAGATCACTGACACGGGAGTTCTTATACTCGTGCACTACAGCTCTCAGCCACTCAACATCTTCCACTGCCACTACTAGAGATCACTGACACGGGAGTTCTTATACTCGTGCACTACAGCTCCCAGCCCCTCAACATCTTCCACTGCCACTACTAGAGATCACTGACACGGGAGTTCTTATACTCGTGCACTACAGCTCTCAGCCACTCAACATCTTCCACTGCCACTACTAGAGATCAATGACACGGGAGTTCTTATACTCATGCACAACAGCTCTCAGCCCCTCAACATCTTCCACTGCCACTAGAGATCACTGACACGGGAGTTCTTATACTCATGCACAACAGCTCTCAGCCCCTCAACATCTTCCACTGCCACTAGAGATCACTGACACGGGAGTTCTTATACTCATGCACAACAGCTCTCAGCCCCTCAACATCTTCCACTGCCACTAGAGATCACTGACACGGGAGTTCTTATACTCATGCACAACAGCTCTCAGCCCCTCAACATCTTCCACTGCCACTACTAGAGATCACTGACACGGGAGTTCTTATACTCGTGCACTACAGCTCTCAGCCACTCAACATCTTCCACTGCCACTACCAGAGATCACTGACACGGGAGTTCTTATACTCGTGCACTACAGCTCCCAGCCCCTCAACATCTTCCACTGCCACTACTAGAGATCACTGACACGGGAGTTCTTATACTCGTGCACTACAGCTCTCAGCCACTCAACATCTTCCACTGCCACTACTAGAGATCACTGACACGGGAGTTCTTATACTCGTGCACTACAGCTCCCAGCCCCTCAACATCTTCCACTGCCACTACTAGAGATCACTGACACGGGAGTTCTTATACTCGTGCACTACAGCTCTCAGCCACTCAACATCTTCCACTGCCACTACTAGAGATCAATGACACGGGAGTTCTTATACTCATGCACAACAGCTCTCAGCCCCTCAACATCTTCCACTGCCACTAGAGATCACTGACACGGGAGTTCTTATACTCATGCACAACAGCTCTCAGCCCCTCAACATCTTCCACTGCCACTAGAGATCACTGACACGGGAGTTCTTATACTCATGCACAACAGCTCTCAGCCCCTCAACATCTTCCACTGCCACTAGAGATCACTGACACGGGAGTTCTTATACTCATGCACAACAGCTCTCAGCCCCTCAACATTTTCCACTGCCACTACTAGAGATCACTGACACGGGAGTTCATACACTCATGCACAACAGCTCTCACCCACTCAACATCTTCCACTGCCACTAGAGATCACTGACACGGGAGTTCTTATACTCATGCACAACAGCTCTCAGCCCCTCAACATCTTCCACTGCCACTAGAGATCACTGACACGGGAGTTCTTATACTCGTGCACTACAGCTCCCAGCCACTCAACATCTTCCACTGCCACTAGAGATCAATGACACGGGAGTTCTTATACTCATGCACAACAGCTCTCAGCCCCTCAACATCTTCCACTGCCACTAGAGATCACTGACACGGGAGTTCATACACTCATGCACAACAGCTCTCAGCCACTCAACATCTTCCACTGCCACTAGAGATCACTGACACGGGAGTTCTTTTAATCGTGCACAACAGCTCTCAGCCCCCCAACTTCTTCCACTGCCACTAGAGATCACTGACACGGGAGTTCTTATAATCGTGCACAACAGCTCCCAGCCCCTCAACATCTTCCACTGCCACTAGAGATCACTGACACGGGAGTTCTTATAATCGTGCACAACAGCTTTCAGCCCCTCAACATCTTCCACTGCCACTAGAGATCACTGACACGGGAGTTCTTATAATCGTGCACAGCAGCTCTCAGCCCCTCAACATCTTCCACTGCCACTAGAGATCACTGACACGGGAGTTCTTATAATCGTGCACAACAGCTCTCAGCCCCTCAACATCTTCCACTGCCACTAGAGATCACTGACACGGGAGTTCTTATAATCGTGCACAACAGCTCTCAGCCCCTCAACATCTTCCACTGCCACTAGAGATCACTGACACGGGAGTTCTTATAATCGTGCACAACAGCTTTTCAGAAATGATTTTGGCTCCCTGGTCGACCCAGGCTACAGTGAGTACCGGGTAATTTCCTAGGAAGTCCAGGCGGCTAGTGTGGTTTTGACGAGGGCAAGACAGCAAGAGGTGGACAGCGATACAAGTGGGAGGACAATATCAAGGGATGAACAAACAGCAGTCTAAGAGAGTGTACAACCAAGACAAGACACCGCGCATGGTGGAGATCGGCTATAGCCAGTCTTCATTGTGGAGATGGCACCTGATTGACTTGCTGATTAATGGACTGATTGATCATAAGCCCGATCAGGTCGTATTAACCATTAAGCACACTAAGCACGAGTAGAGGGCATCACAAAGGGAGGGGGTACCGCAGGAATTGTCAATAGCCTTGAAGTTAGGCGTTTTTTTTTTTTTTTTTTCATTTGCTCAGTTACAGTAGAGTTGTTGTTGTTGTTTTTTTTTTTTAAATCTCATTAGAACAACAAAACAACTATGCAGGTTGGATGCCTAATTTCTATAAAGTATAGAAGCCGATGTGTTAAATACGATTAGTTTTAAGGATCTGACCAAAGTTTTAAAAATAGCATCAAATGGTCTTCATCCGACCCTATGCCCAATGCATTTTTGAGGAGAAAGGGGCCATTTAAGTTTGACCTTACTGACCCGGCCACACTACGACGAAGCTCACCAAGCAGAAAACAGCATCGCTTCTCGCGATCCCTCATGTGGGTCACTCTAAAGGAGGTGAACGGGACATCCGGGTAGCCATCTTCGCAGAATCGATCCACTCTTCTGCGTCTGGAGTCATCGAAACAGGCCAGCTTGCTTTCCAGTGAAACCTGTGTGGGGAAACAAAGTGTAACAGTCAATAAAGGTTGTTTCTTATGTTTTTACTTTCAAGGCATGATATCGACAAACTTCATCATCGGAGATGTCTAATCGCTGCCTGAAACATGCATAAATCTTGCTACATTGGACAAAACAAAGGGCCGTTTACGAGACAGAAGGCAGTGGACAAACCCGATTACCCACGTAACATGGTATGGACTATAAGAAAAATGTGTTTACCTTACTGCAGCACAGTTTATTGTCCGATCTCCGGAGCTCCAACCCCATTTCCAATCCATGTTTATCCATCCACCTGGCCTCGAGCTGGTGCCGATGGAGAAACGAGGGCTGTGAAAGAATTTCTGCCGCCGAGTGTTTTTCTGTGACCTGGCATAAGGTGTTGAAATAAAGCTCTCGAGTGGCCTGTGGAGAACGATTATAGCAATATTAGTAGTAGTGGTACTTGTTGCAGCAGCAGCAGCAGCAGCAGTAGTAGTAGTAGTACTAGTAGTAGCAGCAACAACAGCAGCAGCAGTAGAGGTAACAGCATTAGCAGCAACAGTAGTAGTAGTAGTGGTAGTAGTAGTAGTAGTAGTAGTAGTAGTAGTAGTAGTAGTAGTAGTAGTAGTAGTAGTAGTAGTAGTAGTAGTAGTAGTAGTAGTAGCAGCAACAGCAGTAGTAGTAGTAGTACGTAGTAGTAGTGGTAATAGTAGCAGTAACAGTATCAGTAGCAGCAGCAGCAGCAGCAGTAGTAGTAGTAGTAGTAGCAGCAGCAGCAGCAGCAGCAGCAGCAGCAGCAGCAGCAGTAGTAGTAGTAGTAGTAGTAGTAGTAGTAGTAGTAGTAGTAGTATTAGCAGTAGTAGTAGTAGTAGTAGTAGTGGCTGTCGTTTTTGTTGTTGGTATTGTTGTTGTTATTGTGGCAATAGGGGTGGTAGTAGCTATATTAAAAGTGGTAGTGGCAATACTAGTGCAGTAATTGTGACAGTAGTTGTACTTGGGATGGTGGTATTAATAATAGACGTATCAGTGGTGGTGACGGTACTAGTAGATACAGAAGTAAACTGTGGGAACCCAACGTTACCTTCTGGTGCACGCAGACTGTCTGGGTCAAAGGTCCATTCTGCACGTCCTCATTGTCAGCATAGTACACGTTGTGCACAGAGATTACTACGGCTCTGAAAATATGAAAGAATAAATACCCAGATGGTATATCAAACTCTGGGTAAACTCATCTCTCAAAACGTTAAAGGTAACAGAAACGGTAGATCATAAACATCATCATCGTTACCACCACCATAATTCTCACCATTTTCATGATTGTCATCACCATCATCATTAGGATCATCGTCATCATGATCATCATTATAATTATTATTATCATCATTATCATCATCATTATCATTATTAATCAACATTATCATCATCATTATCATCATCATTATCATCAACATTAACCATCATTATGGTCATCATTATTATCATCATTGATCATCATTATCATCATCATTATCATCATCACCATCTTCATTATCATCATTACCATAGTGTCTCGTTATTCGTTAGACAAGGCTTGCAGCTGAGTCCCGCAAAATCTGTCTTGTGCAATCATCTCGTATGTATTCATCATCACTCACCAGGTCCTCTAGAGAACGTCGCTCTCATCTCGGCAAGACTGAGAGTCTCTCTTTTTCTAGCCAGTTCTCCAGCCCTATGTGAGTTTACAACCAATGCATCTTCAATATTTTGTATCCGTCTTAGCGGAGGTTTGCTTCTACCTCATCTTCCGGAACCGGTGCCCTCCTTAACCGCTTTCCCCAGACCAACATGGCGTTTGACATGGACAAAATACCACAACTTTTGGGACAGGACGTTGTTCATGAACCAGTCCTGATCCATGATCAGATCCTGTAGGATGTCGATATTCTGTAGCATCTCAATTAAAAAACTTCGAATGTTTTCTTTTTCAGTGATTGTGTAAGAGTCAAATATCATAGGCTCTAATAATTGCTGCAGAAATAGCTGACATCTAAGTGAAATATGGCAACCTTTTTGGTCCGTGTACAGCATAGCAGCGATATTTGCGTCTTTCGACCAACAAATCCAACTTGATCGGCCATTTGATCACCAGGTTAGCTTCTAGGTTGGTTTCATAGGACATGGCGTAGGACATGGCGTAGGACATGGCGTAGGACATGGCATAGGACATGGCATAGGACATGGCGTAGGACATGGCATGGGACATGGCGTAGGACATGGCATAGGACATGGCATAGGACATGGCATAGGACATGGTATAGGACATGGCATGGGACATGGTGTAGGATATGGCATAGGACATGGCGTAGGACATGGCGTATCCCTGCATCTACAGATGTTACTTCTGAAGCACACATCCAGGGAAGTCACACGGGTTAAACAAGAGCATGTTCTGAGATAGTGCGGGCCTCAAGGTGGTTGAGCCATTAGGTTCCAACGCCCCTGATGAAGGTCGACTGTTGAATGTTGAATTAAGAATCGACATAATAGCACTCGGGATATCCCATAAGGACACTATCCCCCATCTTTCAGCAGCAAGCGAAAAATCAATATCGATGATACCAGTAACTGTCTGATTGTACATCCGTCTCGTCCTTGAGTGTTGAGCGTCGGCCAGATCCCCTTGGTAACTCCCTGCAGCGCCATTCTCCTTAGACCGTTATGATCTTTGTGAGCCTCCGCACAGAGTTAAGTTGACTTGAGTCAAGAATTGACATCACAGCACTCGGGGCATTCCCATTTATGCTCTGTCCTCATTTTCAGCAGCCTTCGCAGAGTTCTAATACTGATCGTAGTGGTCACAATCTGGTTTTATATCCGTATTGCCTTTCCTCTGAGTGTATTGAGCCGACCAGACCCTCTGGTTACACCCAAGCCATAATAGTTTTCTATCACTACTGATTCTGTTGCTTGTTCCTAAAGGGCATTGACCACATCTGCCTTGTCATGTATCAATTAACCACCCAGTGGTGCGGATTCAGCCAATCTGTCTGTCTGTTCATTACCCACCACGCACAATGATGATGATGAACAAGATACGTTACACTTCCTCTGACACTTATATTTACAAAATGATCACAGCGAGGATGACGACACAGTCATATAATTAGCTAGAAAAGATATCAAACCGAACGAAAAGTATATCAGCAAGCCTCACAGGATAACAAACACTAACAAGACGTGAACACTGCGGCTATGGAGCCTTCATCGGCACATTCGTAAATCAAATAATACCTCACAAATACCCAAAATCCCTTAGCTTAGTATCTCGAAGCAGCCAGGTCGATGCCTTGCCAGTAAATCGACGAGACACGTGGGACAAGAGAATAAATACCCCTCGGGAGTGCCAGGGGCTGTAAATTAAATTACCTGAACTGTACACAACCACACGCTGGCGGTTTCCATGACAGAGAAGGTAAATCTCCCATCGGCAACTTCCGGTTGGTCAAGAGTAGCCGCGGACATGTTGGCTCGCTCTGTTTGGCATCAAAGAAGTCGTGTGGGTCAAAGGTTAGTGATCCTGCTTCGCAGGGACTTTTTGAAGCCAATGAGATTTTCGCGTCGCTGAAGAAAAAGGCATCGTTCTTGGCAAAGATTTGCACTGTTGAATAATAGAAGAGGAAAAGATTAATGACCTCTAGTTGCAATTGTATAACAATAAATAAATGCATAAATAAGAGAAATATTTGTAGTATTATAGTCGTATGCGTTAAAAAAAAAGCCTGGCACTTATATGTTATAAAACTGCAGCATTGCTCGTGTAACTGTGTTTTATAAATTGTAATATTAATTATTTTGTAATAGTTCCCCTAAGTGCACTAATAATTATGTAACCTTTTACGAAACTGCAGTTTTACACCTGCCATTGTTTTCACTGGTATATTATCTAATTTACGTTCTTAAAAATCCACGTGTCAGGTCTTGGTCAGATGTGCCTGAGCTAGCGTACAGAAGTGTTCGGTACTACCTGTTTTCTGTTACCCTTGAATGTTGGGTGGCGTATACCAATACTGACATTCAATGTTGCCCCAACGGCTTCGAACGGAGAGCCGCACTGAGGAGGATTCGTGCTGGATTCTAGTTCGAGACAATGTGACCTGACCACTTAATGTTATGGCAGGATAGACTTGGTCAGTGGTTCTCAACCTTCCTAATGCCGCTACCCTTTAATACAGTGCTTCATACTGCGGCGATCCTCCAACCATACAATTATTTTCGGTAATATATGTTTTCCGATGGTCTTAGGCGACCCTGTGAAAGTGTCATTCGACCCCAAAAAAGTGGGTCGCCACCAGCAGATTGAGAACCTCTGTACTAGGTTGCCTTGATGTGTAGCTCGTGTAGAAGAAAGCTCCAATGGGCTGTTGCACTGATCTGACAGTTTCTGTAGCAAACTGTGTTAGAAATATATTGGTCTTACCTTTCCTTTAGAGATAACAAAGCAGGCTGAGAGAGGGATCCTGCTGCGTGGGCAATACATGTCCTCCGCAATTCTACGCAGGCTTTGTGTCACGCAAAGGAGGAACTTCATTCCCAGCCTCAACTAGTAAGGTCACGGACAATGATTTATATGTCTTCTTATAGCACATTATAACCGCTGCTGGATTCAGGTATAAGCCAGTTTAGCTACAGCTTAGTCACCCTCCGTCTGCAGAGACCTAACAGAAATCCCTTTTCTTTTTCTTTTCAAAGACGCAGTTTTCTTTTAATGCTTACAACTTAGAGCCTTTTAGAGTTTTATATAGTACAATTTGTGTGATTTTCCAAATACACGCTTTGTTACATCATTTCATAAACATTAAACGAAAATGGGGAGTCGCCGTGGCCGAGCGGCTAGACGGTCGTGAGTTCGCTCCCTGGCAGAGCCGGACTTTTTTCAAAAATGACCTTGGCTTCCAGGTCGACCCAGCCTTGAGTGGGTACCAGGTGCAGTCCCGGGAAGTAAAGGCGGCCGGCGTGATGCTGACCACATCACCCATCTTGTGCCGAATGGTCTATAAAAATATAGCTATAGCCCTATATGTCCTGAACGCCTGATGGCGTGGAAAAGGGCCCTTTACTTTACTTACTAACTTAAATGAAAATGTATCTCTTTATCCATGTATTTAAGTTTATAAATATTTCTGAAATTAGTTAGTGTAATTTAAAACGGTCGGGGTATTATGTAGCCTCGGGTTGGAGTATTTACTAAGTTTGCTCAGGGGCCACACTTTGTAAACTACGGATCGTCATGGGCTTCAGTCTAAGCATAGAAAGATCAATAATACAGTATAACTGGCAATGGGGCCACTCGATGGGTCTCCGCGGGCCAGAATTGGCTCGCGGGCCTTCAGTTGAAAAGTCCTGGCTTAGAGCTTCATCAAATCCAAATCCGGCCGTGATTACAACACTATCTGCAAAGAGGGAATGGAACAAGTATTACCGTTGTATGTTAAGGACTCCGATGTACTATGGTTCTGCTTGAAATGGGAGACAATCTCTAGTCGATACAACGGTGTGTTGGAGCTCCGATTCAGTCGGTTAACTCCCCTGACGTTGGTTGGAGGAACTTGTGTGGTTGGGCATGTGTGTCCGAACGTTGGCAGGCTGGACCCTGGCAGAAAGAAACGGTGACAGTTACAAAGGTGCGAAAAAGATGACTTGTTGATAACATTCATTCATTCATTCATTCATTCATTCATTCATTTGACTGTACAACCAGCGTGCTGTTGGAGAAGTCAGCATCTACGCTTTTAGATATTCGTCGAGAACTCCCAGTGTTGGTTCCTGGACCTCATTGTAGGGAAAAACAAGAATAGACCCACCGCCTGCCCAACAATCATGTCGTGTGTGTCGACTAATTAAGAGCCTTAATTAGCAGTCGGAGTGCATTTGCACGAGAGGCAATGAACCATCAGTCTGCATACAAATCAGCCAGATCAGTAAAACCTATGTTCACGCAACATTCAAGTTTTGCAGCAAGACTGAAGTCCGGAGGTGGACGAACAATTCTAACTTTTCGCTGAAGTTTACAGTCGGTGCACGCGAAGAAGAGGAAGAATTGCTGTTGGGAGCAGAGCATCTGTGGCAGAGCTGTTCAACTAAGTATGCTCAGGAGCCGAAACGTTGAAACTGGTGATGGTCATAGGCCAGAAGCCCGATACCAAGCGTAGAAAGATGATTAATACAATACAGCTGGCAATGATCCATGGGGAGCACAGAGCCTGTTGGAGTTCCCTGCAACCCGGCTTTGTTCCAGGACTTGATCTGCGTACAAACCCGTTTTACATATTTCGCTTATCTGTATGCAGACAGTTGGTTCCTCGCTTCTCAATAGAAACTCATTCCGACTTCGAAGAAATCGTTGATCATATTTAGGTTAACCAGCTTGTAGGCTGGAAACATATTTCTAGGTCTGATGCTTCAGCACATCTGTCTTCCGTTTGTCATTTAATTCCAGATAAAAAATTACCCTGTGGGATCCAGGGCCCCGTCTTCGTAGTGGGCGGGGGGTTGGGGGAAATAGAGGCACTATTGCTTAACAAATATGTCGTAGAGGGCCGAAAGGTGCAAATATCGCAGCCTGGCTATAAACCATAATACAATGTGTGAGCAAATCTGTCACAAGTGAATGATAATGATGTTGAAGAAGATCATGATGATGATAGTGAATGCAGACCATCGTAGCGACAAATATGTGGCCGAAACACTTTGTCGCAGCAGTTCCGCTCTATAGCGATAACCGCTTTCCATATCCGCTACCAACACCCCCCCCCCCCCCCACCCCTAAATCCCTCCTTAAACTATTCTATTTCCTTTCAGTCTTTCAGAAAGCGATAATTCCCGTATTCTGTAACAGCTTGAATCGTGTTTATTCTCGACCCTTTTCCGCAACCCCAACCCTATTTCCGCAAGCGACCTACCCTGTCCCCCAAAGTATATTTATGCAACTAGCCACCCGTTACTTTTAACAATAGGCACCGGGTATCACAGATTTCAGACAGAAATGGTTCAGCGGGTTTTAGTGCAGACGTCGTAATGATACCCTGGCCTTGAGGACTTCCTGCCTGTGTCACAGACCTCACCGCCCCTCGTCCCCCCCCGTCCCCCCCCCCCCCCTCCGTCCGTCTGTGAACTATCCAATAATTCCAGGTTATGTTGTAGTCGAACTGGGACACGCCTTGGCCACGAGTGACAAGCGTGGCTGGTTGTTGGCGGTGCAGAGTTCGTCCCGTGTCGACCCGACTACTTGACTCAAAGTCCTTCCATCTCCCACCTCTACCATTACAGATTTGGCTGGGGAAAGCTCTTTTTTTTTTTGGGTGATGGACTGTCACACCCCAGTTAACTTCATCCGCGACTGAGACAATGTACAAGAATGACCGTCTCCTGTATATCGGAGACGGTCTTGATGCAGGACGACAATTACCCAACCCCCCCCCCCCTTTTCCCCTTCCCTCTTTCCTCCCTCCTCACCAAACCGTGCACACAATTATTTTTTTTTTAAATTTAATTATAAGCTGTTTATTTTTTGGGTCCTGTTTACCTTTCCCGGCCCATCTACACACTACCTGATCTTTCATTCATACTTTCTCAGACTCTTCTACGTCGGAGGGGTGTTGTCTTCCCTCCAATTACATGATCGCCTATGTCGCGTGTTCTAAAATACACGACGACACAGCTTTCAACTACCCCAGAACATATAGAAGTGGCCCTATACCAAACCCTTCTTACCACGGCCTCAACCTAGGTCACACGAGAGATTCTTTTCGAAGGAAGCAGTACAACGTGACACCCCTCTGCCTAGATCAGACAGAGAAAGTGTGTAGATGGGCCGGGAAACGTAAACTGGTCCACTTATTTCATAACATTAGAAACAATTATTCTATGTATTTGATATTCGGTCAGATGGTAACAATACCAATAATATTAGGTGTTATTACTGAACACTTAAACAAGACCTAGGCCTCTTGAGGCATGTTTTTTTAGAATTATTCTATGTATTTAATATTCGGTCACATGGTAATAATGCCAGTAATATTAGATGTTATTATTGAACACTTAAACAACTTAGGCCTCTTGGGGCATGTTTTTTCGAAGTGTCGGCGCTCCTGCTTCGCTCTCAAAGGTTTTTTTCCCTTAGTTGTTTTGTTGTTTTAGTTCTCCTGATGAATATATCGCATGTATTATGGACAAGCATGTCGTAATTAGCTGTGTTTTATTCGAAGTTGGATGGCACCTGCCTGAGAGGCGGGGAACCAACCGATTGGATACAAGTAAGCCAGATTTGTAAAACGGAGGTCCCGCAAAATTCAGTTTCTTTAAACAGACTAAAGTCAGAAAGTGGACGAACAACCATAACTTTCCTCCGGAGTATCTTCTTCTTCTTCTTCACTTCCTCTTTTACCGCTGTGGGTGTCGAGGGAGATATAAAGTTCTGTCTCTAGCGCTTCTGGCGGCCATAGGCACATAGGGCTGTTGTAGAGTTTCTCTGATGTTATCCTTCCATGTTGTTCTTGGTCTACCGCCGGAGTATACAGACGGTTAATGTTAAGATAAGAAGAAGATTGGCATGCACAGAAGAGATCAGAAATCATCTTCATTCAGGGTTGCCATACGTCCTCATTTGTTGTGGACATGTCCTCAGTTTTGTGGATACATCCTCATTTTTTGTGGAGACATGCTTATTTTTGTGGAGACATTCTCACTTTTGTGGAGACATACTCATTTTTGTGGAGACATGCTTTTTTGTGTGGAAACATTCTCACTTTTGTGGAGACATACTCATTTTTGTGGAGGACATTCTCATTTTTGTGGACACATCCACATGTTTGTGAAGACATTCTCATTTTTGTGAACACATCCTCATGTTTGTGGAGACATTTTCATTTTTCTGGACACATCCTCAATTTTGTGGAGATATTCTTATTTTTGTGCACACGTCCTCATTTTTTGGAACATGTCCTCATTTTTGTGGACACATCCTCATGTTTGTGAAAACATTCTCATTTTTGTGGACACATCCTCATTTACTACATCTGAGCGTCCGTAAACAATTGTAGACATTCGTAGATTTCAAACAATGTTTCCCCGTTGTAAATTTGAACAAAGAAGACACAAACAATAGACTGTACAATTTATTGCCTGGCATATTTCGCTGTATCGCCTCAGGTGCAGACTACAGTAACAATTCAACAAATGAAGCAAATTATTTTATTGCTACTGAAGTATGCGCCTGGCAAGATACAACAAAATACGCCATGCAATAAATTGTGCAGTCTATTGCGTGTGACTTCTTTATTCAAATTCGTAGATCTTTCCGGAATTTTACCAGCCAAGATAAAATTAACACTATGTGACTTAATCGATAACTGTAGGAGTAGTAAAATGTACTCTGAAATCGGGAAGATATCACAATTCTTCATTGCTATTCTGCATTCCAGCATACAATGTTTCGGTAGAAGCTACTACTATTTTCTTCAATGTATGTTCAATGGACTAATGAAAGATATCGTCTTAATCTTCAATCCATCAAGCAGTTTTACTTGTAAAATTTAATTTCAAACATTCCACACGAACTCAATTCTGTGGACATCTGATGCAAAAGACAGACATTAAAAAATGGTTATCAGAAAAATATACACGTAACACAATTTAAACATGATTGTATGTTGGGAAAAGCGTCCTCATTTCGAAAAGTCAAAATATAGAAGTGTTCTCATTTTGGAAAATCAAATATGGAAATGTCCTCATTTCAGAAGATCAGAATAGGAAAATGTCCTCATATGGTAAATCAACATATAAAAGTGTCTCAATTTCTAACGATCAAAATATGGAAGTGTCCTCATTTCAGAAGATCAAAATATGGACATGTCAGAAGATCAAAATATGGACATGTCCTAATTTCGAAAGATCAAAATATGGAAGTGTCTCCATTTCAGAAGATCAGAAAAGGGAAAGGACATCATTTCGGTACATCAGTATAGGGGAGTGTCTTAATTTCGGAAGATCAACACATGGAAGTGTCTTAAAAATATTGCATAATCAATGACGTGATTAATTCAGTCAGGAATGCCTACAATATCAGTAGCAACAGCAAAAGTAATAGTCGCTTTATCGGATGAAGAAGTTGCACTAGTAGCAGCAGCAGTAACTGCAGTCGTAACATACAACAAATCAGCAGTAGCTTTAGCGGTAACAGTAGTAACAATAGTAGTAGAAGTCGTACCACTATTATTATGTGGTAGCAGCAACAGTAGAATTAGTAGCAATAATGTTAGGAGTAGCAGCAGCAGCAGCAGCAGCAGCAGCGGTAGAATTAGTAATAATAATAATAATAATAATAGTTGTTACTGTTGTTGTTTTAGCAGCAGCAGCCCTAGTAGAAGTAGTAGTTGTTGTTGTTGTTGTAATAGCTGCAACAGTAGTAGTATTATTAGTAGTGGTAGTTGCAGTATAAGTATTAGTAGCAGCTGTGGTATAATTTGAAGTAATTGTAGTAGTACTTGCAACAGCATTAGCAGCAGCAGCAGTAGTAGTAGTAGTAGTATTAGGAGGAGGAGGAGAAACAGTAGTAGTAGTTCAAAAATAGAGTAGATAAGAGAAAAGAAAAACAAAATTACGATGGCTACGATCAAGTGGTCAGTGAAAATATAGAGCAATTACGGCTAAATGTATTAACTATCTTGACTTGACATGTCCAAAAACCTGGTTTAATCAGTAACAACAATAAATCAGTGAACTCACCCACTGCCAGTAAAGCTGCGACAACACTGTAGAAGAACAACATGGCAACAAAAGGTTGCATTCGTGCGCACACTGTATCAGTAGAGTGATGATAAAATGCTTCAACTGGAATTCATTTCTCACAAGAACTGGCAGAAATTGACACTTCACCGGTTTACAGAACAAGGCCAGGGACACGACGAAAGCAGAAAAACATAACCATTTCTAAAATCTTTCTAAAATCTTTAAAAAAAAAAGCGACGTGTCTTATCTGGCATACAGCGGGTAGCCTGTAGTAAGAAGAGCTCAGTGCCCGCCTTTTGCAAGTTCACGAAGCCGCCTTGACCCAAACAATACTGAACTTTCCAGTAGAATAAGTTCTTATGGGTTGGGAGAGGGATTCACTCATGTTTCTTGCGGAGAATGATCTCTAGATCTACGACCCAGATTTCACAGTTATGACTCCATGCAGGATTCTGAAATTTACTTTTTATGCGCTTCTTTTATGAAAGCAGCTTCATTTAAAATCTATACCGTCTCGCTGACTGAAAAAAAAGGATAATAATAACCTTCTTTTCTTCCTTTCTTTCCCCCCCCCCCCTCCTCCAACCCCCCCCCCCCCCCCAGATTTGCTTTCTGCAGGATTAACATATTAAGGCTGAGGATAAGACAGGTAGAAATCCCCGGAAACCCTGTTCAACCGTACAGCCATTTAGCACAGTTAAACTGGGCAGCCACAACACGGTTGTTAAGGCCCCTGTAGTTTAGTGTAGATAGGTTGTTGTATAAATTGTCTCTGCCAATGTCATTCACCCCCCCCCCCCCCCCCCCCCCCCCCCTTTTTTTTTTCTCCCTTCACTTTTGAGATAACGTCTGCTGCACGTAATTTGCGTCTTGGTGTTACAAAATTACTGGACGATTTTCTTTCAGGTTCCCAAAACATAAAACGTTCGTTAATGTCCAAGTAAGTATAAAGCAAAGGACCATTTTCCAAGGCATATTGTGAATATAGGGCTAGATCTATATTTTTATAGACTTTCTGGGTGATGTGATGATCAGCATTATACCGGCCACCTTTACTTTCCAGGACTGCACCTGGTACCCACTCAAGGCTGAGTCGACCTTCCGATCCGCTGCTGGGGGTCTAGCTGCCAACGCCACGCCTACTCTCTGTTTGTTAATGTAGTCTCTCTCTCTCTCTCTCTCTCTCTCTC